CGTCTCTCTCTCTCTCTCTCTCTCTCTCTCTCTCTCTCTCTCTCTCTCTATATATATATATATATATATATATATATATATATATATATATATATATGTATATATATAAATCTGTAACAGTAAAAAAAACGGAATTCAACATTTGCCTCAGGGTAGTTTGATTGTATATTGATATTTTACTAGATTTATATTATTATTGGTTATTTTTCAGGAATCTACAAATAGAAAAGGAAACAGGCCGGACGTACTACACACAAGAGACAACAGAACCTGGTGATGATGACAAGGGGACTAAGAATGAGACTGAAGCGGTGACGGTCTCTGAGATCCGTTATTGTAATTTTAAAGACCGTAAAAACCTTGAGGACAGCATGGCCAAGAGGAGGCTGGCGCTTCAACGTGCTGTTACAGTGTACCTAGAAGAGGTAAGGAGAATATTACTGACCGTTACACCTGGTATAGCTAAACAACTCATTTTAAAATGTTGGATTGTAAGCCTTCAGTTCAACACTCAATGATTTTAAATGTGTTTGTTTTCTTTTTTACACTTCAAGAGTAAGTCCAGTGATTGCAGATATATACACAGAAAATAACCCTTATGTATATATTCTTGTAGGGTCGTATCCTGAGTTCAGACTTCCTCCTTCCCGCTGGAGAGGCAGGCTGTGAAACCGCCATGTTGGCGTTCCTTCAGGAAGACAACACCGGCGTGCCCACATGGGAAGACATGACCGGAGGACAAGAGTTCATGGTCGTGTTTGACATGCCGTACGACATTCCGGGGATTCTTCGGGCCCAAGACGCGCTGACAATAAAGTTCTTCCGTCACATGTGGTTCTCTACCAGGAAAGGGTCTGTACCACATTTGTATGATAGCTACAAAAACGGGGGAAGCAATGACGTCCAGGCGAAAAAGGTAAAGAAATCAGAACATACAGAACATTGTGTATTACAAAGATTACTCAGAGATCAAATTTATAATGACCACTGTCGCCTTCATCAGGGCACTCCAGTCATCACAGAGACGGTGGACGATATAAACTGCCTGGTACTTTTGAGTTATTGCTTACGTCACGTATCCGTAAAGTCTCGTGTGATTAATGTCACGTGTCTGTATATCGCAACTCTCGCGAGATTATGTTTTAAAGTGATTGGTCATTCATTATCCTGATGAAGGCGACAGTGGTCGTCAAAAATTTGATCTCTGTGTAATTTTTGTATTGGAACAAAGTCCAACATTTTACTATGATTACTACCAACACAGATTAACTTTCTCTGCAGTTTTACAATGCAATTGTACATGACTTGACAATTCCGCAGGTCAGCGTTCAGGGCCTTGTCATGTCGTATGATGAGGGAACAGGTGTCTTCACGGTGACGGAGGACGACTTTAATGCCTCAGCTACACTACTGACAGACTTGCCAGGGTGGGTTAAAGGTCGTGACGTAGCCAGAGCTGAGTACAAACAACTACTCAACCACTTAAGCCAGAAAAGGTAAGTAATCCAAACTAGACCAATTATGATAAGGGAATAATTCGTGTCACAATAAATGTTGTTTTTTTTTTTGCTTTAACTTTAAATATTAATTATTCATGGTGATACAATTAAGATTAGTTGAGTCAATCCGATTATGTGTGTGAGTCCCTGCTGTTGTTTTGCAGTGACACAGTTGGAGACGTACCGTGTAGCATCCAATGGTCCAACGCGCATCGCTTTGACCCGACCGACGGAGGAAAGTGCATCCACTTCACTGCAGCATCAGAGGGTGACATATTTGTTGTGTTTGCCAGCATCCCGCAAAATCATGAGACCTGGATATACATACAGATCTCACCTGAGGGAGTGGCAATTTATAAGGTCAGCAGAACAAACTCTAACTCTGCAAGGTTTTATAAGATATACATTTTTACGGCCATGAAAACTGACGTGGCATTTGCCTTCTTTTTATTCATGATAAATCTCATTGACCAATGGTTGCAACGACGGTCTTTCCCTAGAACAGCTATTCCCAAATGTACGAAAATGCTCAATTGTATGAGTTGGACATTTAGTGGACATGCTTAATGGGCCAAGCCAGTGATTTTTATGTCAATTGTTTTAGCTATCACTATAACTACTATCAGCAGTGTATTTGAGGTGTACCCAGCCTCTATGCATTTGAGCCAAAAATATAGATTCCTATTTATTCAGTTGATTACATAAGATTCATAAGAATCTTACAATTTTTTAATATACTGTAATGGGACAATAGTAATTTTTTGCTTACAAACATGTAGGCACTGCGGCTACAGACCACCCAGCTGAATGACAACGCCGGCGGTCTGGGTTCGGCAACCCTGTACCAGTCGTACTTTGTCTGTGTGACTGAAGATGTGGACGAGAAGACAACAATAGTTCAATACGGCAAGACGCCTGACAACGAGGTATGTACATGTATACATAAATACGAAATTCAGATTTTTTTGCTTAAACAATATCAGTCTCTCCGACAAAAAAATGAATATATTTTACTCAAATGATAATAGGAACGTCCCCACGTCTGGTTGAGTTTTACATTCAACGAGGTGGCGTCCCTTCGCTACTATTCCTTCGGCAGTGGAGAGTCTCCTGTCAAGGTGATGGGACTGTCACTGCTGGACAAGCCGGCAAAGGACTTCATCATCTGCCGGGAAGGGACAGAGATGATCAACGGGGTCTGTCAACAAAAATGTCACTCGGAGTGTGAAGGTGACCTCGTTGATATATTTGATTTTTTATCTATTTTAGAGAATTATGTAGTCTTATTAAAATCATTATTATTAATTGTAGTTTAATTATAGTTGCTCGCGTTATGTTTGGTTCCAAGTGCACAAATCGACGGATCCACCTCATGTAAAATTACCTTATAGTGTACAAAGACTTCAAAGGAATTTGCTTCTTTTGTTGTTTTTCCTCAGCGACTTGGTTCATATTACGCGTTTTCCCCTCTTTGCCTTCGACTGAAGGCTATGCCTTCGGAGAAGGTTATGAAATCGGGTTTGCACTGTTTGGCAGATTAGGCACGATAACTCTTGAAGGCAAGGTCCGAGGTTCACGCTTTTTGGCAGGCAGGTTGATTTAGGGGTGGCCATTGTCAAGGCTAAAAATGGGCTTCGTGGGGGGTTCCTAAGTCACTGTAGTTGACCTTGGTTTTGGTGTTTTTTCCTTGTCATCAAGATATCTCGAGAATCCTTAAATGGATGTTCATTATTTTTAGTGGGCAAGTTACCGTTGAAAATGCCGAGGTCAAGTTCAAAGATGGGCCCCGTGGGGGTTTCTATGTCACTGCAGTTGACCTTTGTTTTTTGTGTTTTTTCTTGTCATCAAGATAACTCGAGAATCTTTAAATGGATGTTCATGTTTTTTAGTTGGCAAGTTACCATTGACAATACCAAGGTCAAGTTCGGATATGGGCTTCGTGGGGGGTCCCCACGTCATTGAATTAGAAAGTACTGCAGCGAAACTTCTGGTTTTTAAATCTCGTGATATGGACGTGCTAGGGTCATGATTTTTAAATGGTAGGTAGCTCTCGTGCTCAGAAAGAAGTGCCGTAAGTTTGGGCCCCGTAGCAGCTTGTTTGGGAAATGCAGAGGCATTTGTTTGAAAATGTTTGAAGTAGGATAGCTCAAGAAACGGTTGACGAATTGTTGTTATTTTTGATATCTCGGTAGCTTAAGTGATGCTTGACCTAATTAGATGACGATTATGCAAATCACGATCTAATTTTCATAATTAATGACAAAAGTCTATAAATCTGCTACGTTCCATGATAGAACAATTAAAATGGTGGCATATTTAATCAAGAGGAAGAGGAACATTGACAGATATTAATTATGTAAATTGTGACCCAATTTGATTAATTAATAAGAGAAATCTATATGTCTTTCATACTGCACTAGACCTTTTTGTTTCCACCCTCTGTGGATTACATTGATTTATGCCCACAAGGATAGCTGGAAAAAACTTTCCTGTTTGTTGAAACAACAGAATCCTTGCGAAATTGGCGAAAGTGGCGCTTAATGCTGCATTAATACTGAAAGTTTTAATACTGGGTTAATGCTGGGTTAACGACTCGGCCAGCCTTCAAACACACATAGATACATCATTCATAATGTACAATGTAGAAAAGGCAATCTTTCTTTTTATTAATGTTTGTTACATGTACTGGAGCAACTGCATAACTCTTGTAAAATTTGTGAACCCTGACACAAGACTGCACAAATGTATGTGCTAATGTTGTAGGGAATACAGGAAACCTATTCATATCTAGGTTAAAACAACAAGTTACAGACAGGAAGCTGTCAACATTGGTTTTAGTTGAAAAAACGTTTTCTTTGAAATTGTTTGTTGAAAAAACATTAGTGGCCCAGTGCCCAGCAGAGCGTGCTTTATTTGTCAGGTCCGTGGCCCCCAGTGTGAACATCTGGAATTAGCCTGGTTGCCAGACCCATAGCACACTGGACACAAAGTATCTCAGTGCTCACTGAGTCTACTTTGTGTCCAGTGTGCTATGGGTTTGGCACCCAGGCAAATCTGGAATATGCATAATGTGAATAGGCTTCCTGTATTCCCTACAACATTAGCATGTACATTTGTGCAGTCTTGTGTAGTACATTTGTGCATATCGTATCGTATTATGCAACAGAAGTTGAAGATTTAAACCCGATATAAGGTCACAAACTTTGTTTTAATCGAGAACATTGTTGGTATACTGTACACAATGGCCAGGTCACTAGAATAAGGTGGTCTGAACGCATTGAACAGTATCTAATCTTTATTAAGCTTTGTTGCTTTAGCGAGGAGCACGGCGGTATTCTATGAATGACTTTGAGTTTGATGCCTGTAATCTTCTTCATAATGGGTCGTGTGGAGAGGGAATAGAGAAGCTCTGCCATGAAAGGATAGATTTTCACGACCATATTATGGTCCGGTGGGCCCCCACAAGAAAACTAACATAGCCAAACTGCGTCGCCAACCTGAGAAATAACCAGTAAATAACTACCAGCTCAAAAATTGAAGATTGTTAAATTGCAACTAGGATACATATTTTATTTGAATTCTATCCTGGATAAATTGCATTGACAGGATAGACTGGGACGGTTAGGTAGGTCACCCGAGGCTGTCACCTCAGCCCTGCCAGTAACCTCTCGGGACGTCCCCGGAGGACCTGGGCTAATCTATACCACCATCCGGGCTGGTATGGAAAGTCGGGCTGTTTCCTGCTAAAAGTTTGATACGACGGTCCCTCTAACAAGTAAGGCACAATGAGTGTCTCCTTGTGGGGGAAGATTAACTTTCTACCAGGCACCATGGATCGCTGGAAAAATAGTAGAAAACGGCCAAAAAAAGGGAATAGTTTGCCGCTAAAGGGTCAGTTAGCCCGCTAGAGAGATGCAACTCACCGGAAGGAACCCATTTATCTTACATACCACATACCATCACAACAATTGGCCAGTTTGTGTGATTTTGTAGTGCAATTGTTTTCAATGTATTGGACATCGCACGCTTCAACAACACTGGCTGCATAGAAGAAGAATTTAGTTGAAGGAGCTTTTGCCGTTTTGAAGTTTGGATCACCGCATATCGGAGGGAAGAAAACAACTTTTCGCGGCCAGACTCCCCAGGCCTATTCTCCTCTCCTTTTTGCCGAAT